CAAAGCAAGAATTTGTGTCCATTTTTAAACGTCCTTTAAGTTGATTATTCTTGTGATTTATTAGTATGATAAACATAGTTAATATAAAAAATGAAATAGAAAATAAAAATATAGTGCAAATAGATTAATACAGATACAGCAAAATGAGATATTGTGATGTCTTTATCAATTGTCTGGTATAGTCACGCATGGTTTTCTTTGCCTTGCAATAGTCTTGATATATGGGAACACATGTTTAATGTGGTGATCTTCATTGGTCTCTTATATTATTAACTCGTTATGTTGATCCCTTTATATATATTTATTTGCAGCACTTCTTAGTTTTACTGAAGGTCCTCCTTTTACACTGCAAAGGCTCTGTGAGGTGATTAGTCTTTTAACCACTTTATGCTTCTTGAAGTATATCAGATTGCTTTCTTGGCATGTCGTCTTTTCCCATCAAGTGAACTCTGGCATTGCACTGTCTGCGAGCTTATGCTGTGGAATTTTGCTTTTGACAGATACTCCTGTCACCAAAGAGCACATATTCAAATCTCTCGAAGCTTGCGCTAGCCTTAGAGAAGGTCAGTAGACATTTTCTTGTGTGTGTGTGTGGCTGTGAGACATTAGATCTGGCAGATGTCATTAGGAGATACATGCTAGCCAATATTGTGACTTTAAAGATACATATTCTTGTGAGTTATTGATTGTATTATTTTGGTTATATGTCGAAGTATGTCAATCCCATCTTAATTTGGTTTGAAAAATCAGTTGATCCCAATCCTGATCACCCCATCTGAATTGAGATCAGTGGAAGCTGATTCAGAACTGCTCATAAATATTGTCTGCAGACAATTGTAATCAATCTTGACATAAAAAAAAGTGAAGTAGAAAATTTCACTGGTGGACATCTTCAATAGGAGACATCAACTTTAGCTTAGGGATGGCTGATCGAAGATATCAGAGGATTTTTTATGCCTTGACAAAATGGGAGGGTGCTTAAGTGCCCACGGTGACCCTTCGAGTAATTGAAACTTAGCAACATCTTCATCAAATAGTAGTCTGTTGTTTTTTTATTCTTTATATAATACATGAATAACAAGTAGCTGTAATGTCTGAACTATTTGGAGTCAGCTACTTGTTATTTTTTATCCTGCTATTGAGTTTGGTAGAAGGCTACATCTCTAACTGAATTAAGAACCTATAAGTATCAATCTTAATTTTCTACTAAAATCTTCCTAGGCCTTTCTAATCCTAAACGATTAACCTAATCTTGTGCAAACAATTGATATGTTAACTGAAATTTTAAAATATTTTGTGGACATGCAATTATCATGATCTCCTGGTAAGTCAGTTGATTGAGAACTAACATTACGTGGATATTTTTTTGTAATAATTTTTTATAAACTACATTCAATGTTTAGATTTCAGGTTCATGGGATATAAAATTTTTACATTCAATTCCTCTTTTCCTTGTCAGAATTTGTTGGTGACTTCTACCTTAACTATGTGCACTGAACCTTATCCCGGAGAACTGGGGCAGAAACACAAACCTGGTAGGGAAAATGAGATTACCAAAGAAAATCCTGTACCAAATGGAGTTGAAACTCCTGTAGGTGACGGTGATGAAGAAATGACTGATGCCGAGGCTTCTGAATCTACTGATACTGCTGATACAGAGATGCAAGAAGAAAAGGCCAGTGAAACACCTCCCTGTAAACCTGAAACAGGATCTGATTCCAATACCTCCAGTGAAGCTTGTGCCACCAGTGAACAGCTAACCCCTTCAACTCAAGGTTGAAGCGACTACTGGGTTTGGTTGCGTGACAGTAGGTACAGGAAGAAGTTTGAAAGATGTTCAAACACTGGATGTGGTATTGGTTTCATGTGGCCCCACTAAGGGGTAGATATCAGATATCTAGATCGTTTCAAATCTTGCTTGCTGCTTTTGGATTCCTCAGTTTGTGCTACTCTTTCTGTGTGCATGGTGATGATGGGCTCATTTGTTACCTACCTTTCTTCTAATGGTGACTGGACAAATCTGTGCAATTCATTATCATTTAACCTATCCCGAGTATGTGGTTGTGGACAAAGAGTAGCCAGTTGACCTCAGTGAAAACATGTCAAGTTATCGGCATCCAAGTCGTCCAAATAAATGTTACACGTTTATAATGTCTCAATGTATGCCTCATGTAGCTGTGATGATATCTTGTATGAAATTTGAGTCTGTGAAAAGGAAGGAAATAGCTTTTGGTAGTAATTACTCATTCATGATAAAAATGTTGAGATTCACTTCTGTGGAAGGTGGAAACACTTTACTTGCAAATATATCTTGGTAACTGCGGCCAATGCTTTGCCAATTTGGCTATTTATTTATTTACTTATGAATATATGAAAAATATATATGAGCATTTCTTCTAGGGTGTGTGTGTGTGTGTGTGTGTGTGTGTGTGAGACTAATTAGTTCAGAGCATTTCATTGCTAGTCAAGTGTCAACCCAACCTTATCAACCTCTTGACACTTCCACCAAAAGATCATACAATTTGGAAATTGTGGTTGACTAGAATAAAAAAGAAAAAAAAATTTCAATCTTTGGTTAATATCAACAAATAGTTTTTGTTCATTTCCATGGAATAGTGGTTTCTTTTTCTTTCTTCCCCTCAGGCATACATGGGAGGCAAAAAAGGACACCTTAGTGTACTGAGCTTGAATCATCCACCAGTCCAAAAAAAAAAGGACCAAGCTCCAAGAAAGGCACACAGTGTGGTTGCAAGAAGCCCCCCCCTTTATCCACTAACAATTAAAGCAGCTATCAACTTTAACAAAAGCAAAGGAGGTCCAAATGGGCACTTGGAAAAAGTGGCTTCACCACAAAAAGTGCAGCATACTACAATTCAAGCATGCACAAACAGTATCCAACTTGGATTGAAACTTCCTCTTCACCAAAGACAAGCTCCTGTCGAGCTCCACATAATAATGCCTGCCACAAAAACCTTGGCTCTTCCACCATCCACTGAGTCCCACAGTCTTGCCTGTGAAGACTGGATTCAGTTTCTAGATCATATGAGGAATCTCTGGGCCACTAGAATCCTTCAATAAATGGCTTCAAAGAGACCCTACATGTCCTCAAAAGACTCCAATTCCTAGGACTCATCCATGGTTTTCTAGTCCTCCCATGTCTCAAGTTCACCAGTGCAGCAACCAAGCTCAACGGATCATCAAGAGGTGTATGTATGTATGCCCTTCCTTGGAGAAACTGCTTCAATCCTCTTGCTTGACCGAGGATTGCCATGCGTGTGGACTGATGAGCTCCAGGCAAGTGTCACCTTGCAGTTTGCCGGAAATGCCGGCACGGCGGCCGAGGATTACAATTAATTATGTGAGTGTGATTAGTGACCATGTCCATATCTCCGTAGTGGAGAATAGTTAGAGTCAAGAGCATGTCAGAAAGGCATTGTCGAACCCCACCCATAGCATTAAAGATGCTGGCATCGCAGGAAGCTGATTGGAGATCTGTAAGCTACTGAAAGGGACAGGAGTGTATATTAATGGATTTCCTCTCAACCTTATGCTTCAAAGTGGATTCTGGCATATTGGACAGAGTAAATTATGAGATCCATATGTTTAAATCATATGTCATCCATATATCTCCAGAATAAAGTTTGTGCCTTTTTTACTGTATAGTCATTGTTCTTCTCATTCTGCAGAATATATATATATATATAGATTATTAGGTACAGTTTATAGGTCTGTCTCTCATAAATACAAAGCTTGACAAAGGAACATTTTTGGAATGATGAGGGAGAAAGAACTTGTGAAGGATTATTCATATAGAATTTAGATTGATATTAACTTTGGAAATCTGATGGCAAGAAGAAGAACACCTACTGAACTATTTTCTGGATAGATAATATTTCATGTTGAGCATTTAAAGAATTGAAACTTTGTGCCTATCTTTTGATGAGATTTTTCTCTAAAATAGACACTATAATACATAAATATAGCTATATGTATGCAATTCTGGTGTATGGGAGATAAGATTACTGGTGTAGATTAAAGTGTGTGGACAGGAAAATTGGTAGTGCAGTCATTAAACTATTGATCAAAGAGTGACAACTACAAGCATGAAGAAGATGTGGTGTGGATATAAATATATGAATGATGAGATATGTAAATGAGTGCTTTTGTAGAGGATAGATTTTATAATCATATAGTGTTAGAAGATTAAGTCTGCCAAAGTCCTACTTGTTTCTTTTATATATGATTCTTTTTTTCCTTGACCAAAATGAATTGTTTACCCAAAGATGCCACTTTGCCTCTAATAAATGCCTCACATACATATCTTTTTGCATGTAATTATTACACAGCAATTGGATATTAATAAAAATAAATAAATAGCAAGAAAATTATAATTATTATAAGATAATGATTTTTTTATTGTTCAAGAGAGTCAGAAATGTTTCAAAAGCATGATAAATTCAGATTATAGAGGGACAGATAAAATAAGTAGCTTGATGATATAAATAGTATAATTTCTCTTGTTTTCATGTCAGAATCACAAACTTTCTAGAGAGATCATGATGATTACATATCTACAACAGTAAACTTGTATGGGATAAGAAATTATTACCAATCATGATGATTACCAATCCTCATATATATATATATATATGTATATATATATATATATATGTATATATATATATATATATATACCTGAAACATTAAATCTTTAGTGTTGTGATTGATGGCAAATGAAATAGTTATAATGTTAATCACTTTACCCTAAAATAATTATTCTTGACATCTTCTCCAAGATATATGTGACACATGAAATATTCATGCAAATCTGGTCGCTTTCATGCCCAAGAATTCACACACACACAAGTATCCATGAGAGAGACATTAACCTACCACTCAACGTACAAGATGGCAACCACAATCTGTGGGTGGTTTGACTCTCTCTCTCTCGCGCACTCTCTCTATCTAACCCCACACAGCTGTGGGTGGTTTGACTCTCTCTCTTGATCCCTAGTTGTTTTCGTGGTCTCCACACTCGTTCTTGGAAGAACCTTCGTTTCGTTCCAGCCTTTCCTCGAGCCTAACCTTCTTCCCCAACACCCCTCGCTATCCTTTCCACTTTAAAGTGTCGAACCGGAAACTGGTTGGCATGTCTCAGTAGTGGCCAGCTATGGCTGCCTCATTTTCCATGCTTTTGGTGCATCAGACAACTCGACCAACACCTCCCTCCTGCCCCCTACTTTGACCTCCGCCTCTTTTCAACCATGAGTTCACCGCAGAACTCCATGGTCATCAGGGAGTCTGAGCTCTCACAGCAGCACATGCACACGTGATGGAACTACAGGCATCGAAGCTTTGAGTGAATCAAAGATGAGAGGAAGAGAGAAAGGTAGGGGACCAACCTGGGCCTTGCATCATAATGCTCAGTGGGAAGGGTAGAATCATTGGCTGCACATCCACCATGCTCCTGCAGAGCGAGGACACCAATAATGTGCGCTTCGGCCACGGCACGTGAGAGGCTCCTTCATGTGTCCTTCCCCACAATACATGCATCCGGAATCTGAAATGACCAAGGAGAAGCCTAACAGCTGAATCTTTGAGGTCTCCTCCCTTGCCATGGCGCTGCTCGACTCACTGTGTCCACCCACCCTCGAGGGCTAGCCATGTACGTATGTATGTGTATACGTACGTGTGTACGTGTATGTTTCAACCTATATAGGAATACTGAGAGGAGGAGGAGGAGGACGAGGAGGAGGAGGTGCCAAGGGGGGTACTCTTAGATTCTACAGGAGAGTTCCCAGCAAGTTTGACCACTGTGGACATGGCGGATAACATGGGTGGCAGCGTGGAGTCAGATGGGCATCATAACTGCGCAGGCTCGGCTTCGGGGGACGGCGGAATCAAGGAGCAGGACCGGCTGCTGCCCATCGCCAACGTGGGGAGGATCATGAAGCAAATCCTGCCCCCAAATGCTAAGATCTCCAAGGAAGCCAAGGAGACGATGCAGGAGTGCGTGTCGGAGTTCATCAGCTTCGTCACCGGCGAGGCCTCCGACAAGTGCCACAAGGAGAAGCGCAAGACCGTCAACGGCGACGACATCTGCTGGGCCCTCAACACGCTGGGTTTCGACGACTATGTCGAGCCCATGAGGAGGTACCTACTCAAGTACCGGGAGATGGAAGGAGATAGGGCGGCCACCGGCGGTCACAGCAACAAAGCGACCGGCTCTGATGCCGGAGATCAGGACGCGGTGGGCGAGCAGCGCAGGAATCAACCCTCCCCCGGTGCTCACTTGATGTTCAACGCCATGGAAACAAGTCATAACCCTTCTGCATCAAGGGGTTTCTAGATCTCCTTCTTCAACGCTAACAAGGTTAGTACTTGGTGATGAATCACAGCCAGGCTAAGAGAAGGATGACACCGGTTTGGTACAAGCTCAGAAACCCTGTGTTCTTGCTTTGCTTGTAAGATTTGTGTTGACTACGAAACCCACATCTTTACATTTCAAGCAAATTGATTCTTGAACCCTCTCCAAGTCTTCTTAGATTCCTCACACGAAACAGGGAGAGGGCAACTTCAATTCTTGAAGACATAAAATGATCACATGGTTCCTATGTTGTCACAACACCATCGAAAGATACACATCTTTATGCAAAGGACTTGTATGAAGTGAAGCATCTAATGGAAGCACACTGAATCCAAACCACTGTAATTAGCAAGCTTTGGATTACCATCTGCAGATCTGAACTTAGATTTCAAAGTAGGATTTCATTGGTGAACTACATAACTATTTCAGCATTTAGGAACTTTATTTTCTTAGTTACTGTGTTCTTTCTTATCATTCATTTTAATTTTGTCTCCTCTGTAGTGTTTGATCACCCTGAATGGTATCATTCTAGCCTGCTGCCTCTTGAATCTTATGGTTCTTTTTCTTTCGACAACACAGAAGCATCTGCTGCTGATCAAAATTCTATGTTGTTCTTAGGTCACTGATTCTATTATTTTCTTCTCTTTTCTTGAGAAAAAGGGTGTGAAGCAAAGACCGAAAACTTAGGTATCTTCTAAGGCTTGCCAATTACAGTTTGCAGCATAAGCAGCAATCAAACACACATAATCTTACAACAAAATGAGTGGGTGTCTATTTCCCTAAGCTCCATCCCGGAAAGAACATAGGCATCATCTTTGCCAAGGTTACTTGGATGGTTTCATAGAGAAGTAGTATCAGAATGACTGCAAGTGTTGATCTATGAGCTCCTTTATAAGAATCAGATTTGTTGGGAATAATGATCAGCATATGAACATTGATAATGGCACTGTGGTTTTGGCTCAAGCTGTTGAGAGAAACTGAAAGAAATTTATCTCATGCATCATTCAATGTTACCTTCATTTTTGCAACTACACAAAACTATGTTGTCCCTCCTGCATTCAAATACCAAGGCATGCTCATACTTTGGTAATATCTCAAGCTGAATGCTATTTACAAAGTAGTACTAATTTTTCTTTTACTAGAAATAATTAACTTCTTAATGCATGAAATCCTATGCCTGTGTCTGAAACTAAAAAATGAAAATGCTTAGTGAGAGAATGCCTGTGATACCACTATAAACCTTTGGCAAGCTACAAATGCATTCCAATATGTAAGTGTTTTTTAGCTTGTGTGTGTGTGTGTGTGTGTGTGTGTGTGTGAGAGAGAGAGAGAGAGAGAGAGAGAGAGAGAGAGAGAGAGAGAGAGAGAGATCCAGCTGTTTACTGTAAGAAACTAGAAGGAAGATTTGGATACATTTTATTGGAAGTTGAATGTGCATGATCCCACAATTATGGTCCTACAAGGAGAAATTGATAGGCAGCTATGAGTTTCCTTGGACAAAGTGTCATGGTACATGAAGCATCACATTCTAGAAATCTTATAGATCTTTCTTCAGAGACTTCTGTCTACATATGATGTTGATGATAATTGTATGTGTTATGAAGAGTGCAAACACTTGTAGATCTGTAACAACACCATTTGGTCCAAGAAAACGAGAGAGTGCTAAAGCTTTTTGGATCAATTCCATCTTCCATTTTCTTCTATTTTCTGATCTAATTGTTCTTGTTTTCTCTATGTTAGTGTAATACTTTTGCCAATATCCAGTTTACATAATAGATTTTGAACAGCTCTCACAAATGATCTCATGTTCATTAGGAATAGGGATAGATCAAGAAATAGCAGGACACAACTGTTCTTAGTTGGCTGACCACCCCATTTGTCTTAATATATATTTCAGCAGAACATGAACATAATTTAATCTTTTATTGTACCTGCTAAGGCAGTATCATTGTTCATACTATTCTTCTCTCTCTCTCTCTCTCTCTGGAGAAAGCAGCTGCTGATTTCTGTACAACCGTACATTCCATGGCCAGCAGATAAGATTGGCAGAAGCCTCGGTGGTGTGAAGACTCATCATGATCTCCTTGTCACACATGATGCAACAGTGTGAAAGTTGAACTCCTTTCTCGATTAGTTTGGCTTTGTATGTCGTCTTCCTCCGTGCATAGCAACGAAAAGAACCTCTTCTCCTGCAGCATACACACCTCCACATGCACCAAGAACCAGCGAAGGTTGCAGCTTGGGTATGACACTGGAGCCGACACCACAGCTTCAGCTTCAAGCCAAGAACCAGTTACAGTGAACTGCATGGCCATTTCAGCAGGAACAGCATGATCAAAAGGTATTCTCCATCGCAGAAAACCCTCATGGATTTGCTGACGTCCTTCGTAGATGTTCGTATCCCCACCACCCACCATTCGATACAAATCGATAATGCCAATGCCTCCTTGTGTTTCAAGATCTGCATATTAGACAGTCTCCTACATCTATCTGCATGTATTGTAAGTTCATTCTGTAGTACATATGCATTAGCTCTAACAATGACATGAGCTCTCTCTCATGACATTGTCCTCCAGAACACTTGTTTCTAGCAGCAAATGATTCTGGAGATATATATATGTGTGTTCTAAAACCAATACACAAAATTTTGGCTTCCTCCATGAGTTCTTTCTGTGGACATGTAGAAAACTTGATTGCACCCTTCACTGCAGCACCTTGGATTCAGCAACACATCAAAGCAAGAATCTGGGGGACACTTTAGTGCACTGGAATCTGCAAGGTTGTGTGCTAAAGAAATCCCAAAGATTCTTTAAATTGAGACTTCTCCATGGCTCCTGAGTCCAAGATTTAAGAGCCCTAGATGTGTCACTGACAGGTGAGGCCATCTTATATGTGCTCTTCCTTGGCAACTGGAGCAATGGCTTGGCCTGAGTAAGAGAGAGCAAGCTTTATGGTTTGCCACACACATGCATTGAGGTAGAGTTCCACTGATTGGTTGGTTTACATAGGGAAGTGTGATCTTGCAATTTGCGAGAAATATTGTGACAGTCATCGAGGCTTGTGATTATAATATTGTGATCATATCTTCATATCTCCCAAGTGGAGGACAAGAAGACCCAAACATGCCTAGAAAGCACCGTTAGAATTATATTGGGATGGCTACACAAATATGTTTCATGCTTGAGCTTAGAAAAGCTTCAGGGTTTCCCAATCACCATCATGTTCTTCTCTAAATGGGGCTCCAAGCTCAAAACATGGAGGCCACCAGTGTTGTGAGTAGAACACCTTAAACTCCTGCAGATGTTTGACACCCAATCAAGTTGGTTCTCTCTGGCATACTGGATGGGGAGGTGAAAGAAGATATAACATGTTTGCATCATATGGAATGGCACTGAGAATGAAGACCTGCATTCTCTCTAGAATCCACATGCATGAAACAAAGTTCTGAGAGCCACAACATTATTTTCTGACATTAATAATTGAATTCTCAGTTTTTGCAGGGATAGGTCACTATTGTTGGAACACATATAAATAGATCCATCATAGGACTACTCTTCCACTTAATACATAGGGCTCCTGAAACATTGTTTAGCTATCTAAATTGAGTTCTGCCATGGTTAATCTTACTCTCTAATGATCAACTTAATATTGCAAGATAAATATACAAGCTAAGAAAATAGTCTTTCTATTTATAGAGATAATATTGCATATATTAACCTTCTCCGGACTCCCTATTAATATGAACATAACAACATAATGGGTTGTTTTTTATAAATAATATACACACATACATAGAGAGAGAGAGAGAGAGAGAGAGAGAGAGAGAGAGAGAGAGAGAGAGAGAGAGAGAGAGAGAGAGAGACTCTACAACTTTGCTTAGCTTATACTATCTATTTGCTAAATTGCTACCCAACAAAATACCAACAAGCTTGGATCAGTGTGAAGCCCAAGTCATGGAGAAGGAAGCCTAATAACTAAGGAGAAGTTGAGCAAACCAAAGACCACAATTCTCTAAATCTTGGAAGATGGAATTGATATTACAACAAAGGAGCCACAAGTCCCTAAATGTGGCCTACAGCACAAGTAGCTGTTCTAATATCATTGGGGTCAAATATGCCTAAAATAATCTCTCTTTCTATCTTTGATCTGGAAATTCTCACACTATACTGTATTTACCATGGGGTTGTGTTGATGGTCAATCCAATCTACATCAGGTTTCTGCAGTAGAACTTCCAATCCCAAACATACCAAACCCAGTGAGGGCATATGCTGAAGCCATGGCCTGTGTGGTACTTGTCCTTGGATAGAACACTTGATGATGAGCACTCCATTGCAATGAATACCTACAGAGAATATGAACATTCTGCTCTGTTTTTTATCATTCTTTCTTTCTTCCCCATCACATTTTTTTGGGGTCAAACAAGCTAAATGTAAGTTATTCTATGTGGTCACATCAATCAAAATCTTGACTTTGTACACCAACCAATTAATGAGTTTGAGTAAGGATGAACTCCAAATACTAAACTATGTGAGAGAATAGATAGATTTAAATTGAAGATTTCCTTTCCTCAACCTCTAGTAAGTAAATTTTTATGTTGTAGTATTATTAACTATTGAAAAATAATAAATTCATTTTTTCTCCTTTTGTTAGACAGCTTAAACAATTCATGTTTCAGGGATGCTGATGAACATGTTTTGGACTTTAGAGACCCCCTATCAATCATCACAAACAGTAGTACAATAAAAATGTATTATATTCTTCAAGATGAGATGATGAAGTTGACATTATATGCTCACAACTACCAAATAGTTGGTTGCCTATATGTATATTACATATATGTCATATAGGGAGTTGGCCCACTTTGTAGTGTCGGCTCTTTGGTCCAACAAAGCTTATTATATCAAATTAAAATTATAAATTATGTTTTAAAAAAGAGGAAAAAACAATGAAATGTGTCATGTTTGAAAGTGACACATGCAAATTATTAATTTAAAGGATTAACTAAATGACAAGTCAAGTTAAACTAGGGTTAAGTTAGATGTTGAATATCGGGAGAGAAAGATTAACTAAGATTTACTATGAAATTTGAAAGGGTGTTTCTTCATATTGAACAAAATTAAAAAAAAAAATAAGACAAAATAGTTGTTGGCGAAAGATACAGGTGATAGTTGGATCGACCTAACTTGATTTCGATATGTATTCATAAGAAGTCTTCGAAAGTGATCGAAGAGGGTTGGATATTCCATTTGATTCTCAA